AAAACTGAAGAAGCAAAACCAAGAGAAGGACAAGCAGCTGGCCACTGTTTCAGCCAAGGTTGGCAGCACCAATGAGAGGTTCGGTAATTCATGGTCTGACATAAATTATGAGTATTAAGGTGAGAAAGCAGGTGAGAAGGGTTATRCTTCTCTCTGGTGCAGAGCTGCACTGGCAGCATGATGAGAGCAGAGGCTGTGCTGGCTGCAGTGTGCCAGGAGATCCCAGGGATTGACGGGGAATCCTGGAATGCTGAGGTGGAAATGACCTGTAAGGTCACTGAGTCYAGCTGTTAACYCAGCACTRCCAAGGCCAGCACTAAACCGTGTCCCCAAATGTCTTTTAAATCCCTGAAGGRATTGTGACCCAGCCACTGCCCCAGGCAGCCTGTGCCAGTGTYCCTTTCACAGCARGMGYGATGGTATCTCTACCCTAATGGTTGTTTTCCTTGGTTCCCATTCCTTCTAGTGCTGGAGAATTAAAGAAGRAACAAAGCATGAACTGGGAGAGCAAGAACTGATCTCCTGCAGAAATGTGAGTGGAAAAGTCATTTAGGGTAAGCAGTGGCTGCAGAAAATGGATCAGCCAGGGAACAATTAACTGAGCATTGTAAGGGAGTTGTTGGGGATTCAAACAACTGTCCTGAAAGGCACAAAATGGGCATAACAGCCTGGGGAAGGGGAAACTGTCGGATTTGTAAGGGTTATAACGTGAAGGGAAGGGTGGAGGAGAGGGGGGAGTGGGGGGAATGTGATCAGAAATCAGATTGGAATTCAACTTCTAAGCTGACATAACGACAGTACATATAGGTTAGGAGAGAATTCCAGGGTAAACAAAGTGAGTTAGATGGGGAGAAAATCGTGTTTATCTGTGGAGGTCATMCAGAGGGGCAATGCCCAGCTGAGACTCCCGCCCTCCCCGGGCTCTTGCAGCGCATYGAGGAGCTGGAGAGGGACCTGCGGGGGCTGCAGAGGGAGATCCAGAAACATCAGAGTGTCCAAAAGCAGCTGGCTGAGAAAGCCAAGGTAAGCAGGCAGCTGCAGGGGACACACAGAGGGCAGGTGCCACCATCCCAGAGGGGTGGGATGAGGAGCAGCAATAGCTGGGAGCACAGGCTGGACAGGCAGTGTCCASCTGCCCTGAGCTCTGCCATGGACCCTGGGGAAAAGGAAAATAACTCAGAGGGCTGAGTGCCCTGTGTGGGTGTTTGGTGAGGAATCCAAGGATGGACGATGTCCCAGGGACCAAACCCAGATACAAAGTGCCACGAAGGGTCAATGCTGCAACCCCACTGCCTTCACCAGGATTGCTGCCCCTTTCCYGGGATTCCAAAGCTACCTCCTGAGCTGTCTGATGGAAATAGCGGGTAGTTAGGATGGAAATGCCCATGGCATGGTGTTGGATGTCATTCTGAGGTGCCAAAGCTCTCATTGCAGGTGGAGGAGGAGCTGAAGGCAGCCTGGTCCCAGCAGGCAGATCAGCTGCAGGAGATGGGGCACAGGGAGCGCCTGCTGCGGGCTGACCTGCAGAGAGCCAGGGAGCAGGTAGGGAATGGCAGGGGTGGGAACATCACCACTGGGGCCATGGGCAGCATGGGGATATGGTCAGCATGGGGATGAGGCTTCCCATGGGGAAGGATGTGTTGTGGAAACAGAAACCCAGAATCCTGAACCCCAAACCTGGACATGGGACTTAACTTGTCATGGGTGAAGTATAAAAGGCTTATCCACAGGATTTGTATGGGCAACATAGACAACAGAGCAGTTTAACAGGATACAGAAAAGGAGTCTGTAATCCTAGTTATGCTGTCTGGGAGCCATACAAACCCTCATCAGTACCTRGGTAATGCTCTCTGGGCAGGAACAGCCCTTTGCAGCTAACATCGTGCTAGATATCAACCATCAATGATCAGCAGAGTGGCTATTGATGATTGGTGGTGTTTGTTTCCATGTKTTGATCCCTGCTGCAGCTGGAGTCCTTCAAGACCCGAGTGATGCAAGTCTGTTCTCCATCAGCAGCAGGCAGMACAGGGAAATCTGTAACAGAGCAGCAGGTGAGTCTGGACACCAGTTCACAGAGACAAACAACAACAACCTGAGCGGCTCAAGGCAGCTGCCCCAGAACAGCCACGGTGCCTGCTCCATGTGCAGTGGGGCTGGAGCATGCAGGCTCCTCCAGATGAGGAGCTGTGCTCTGGCTGCCTCAGGTTAATGGCACTGCTCCACAACATGAAGGGAACACAGTCCTTTTTGTGCCCCAAAGCCTGGAGGGGTCAGTGGACTGCAGCAGGGACAAGCCCAGGAGTGTGATGTGACTGTCAGCTTGCAGCAAGACTCAATTGTTTCTCTGGGAGATCCTCCCTGGTCCTTCAGCAGTGTGAATACAATGCCTTATCCTCTTCTTTCTTCACCCACTTTTGCCAGGTGATAGAGAAGGTCAGGCAGATCTCTGACGAGAACCAACAAAGTCACAAGAGGGAGAAGAGTCTGCAAAAGGAATTAAGCTCCAGGGTCGCAAAGGAAAAGGAGGCGTCTGCAAACATTGAGGCATTCAAGAACGCCCTGCAGAAGCTCCAGGTCAGCCCTTCAAACACTGAGGACAAAGTGGTAGCTGGGAAATAGGGGCACAGGGTGTTTTGTTGGCCTGGGGACAGGTCAGAATAAAGAGACAACCCTGRAACAAAGCCCTGTCCTAAAGCATTCATGTGGTTGTTCCCAGGATTTTGCCACAGAGTCTCCATAAAGTCCATCCCATCCCACCCCCTGCCATGGGCAGGGACACCTTCCACTAGACCAGGTTGTTCCAAGTCCCACCCAACCTAGCCTGAGTTTTCAGAGCTGTTGTGTCATTTGCCAGTCCCTGAAGGCCACTGACAGCAGAATTGGCTTGYTCCCCATGGGTTCTGTTTGTTCCAGGCCTGCCTGAGCAGCCCCTGCAGCAGCTCCAGCCTGCGAGGGGAGCTGGGCCAGCTGGAGCTGCTGTGCCTGGATCCCTCTGTCTCAGCCATCAGGACAGCAGTGCTGGACATGGCCCGTGCTCCCCTGTCCTGGCTGCAGGCTGTGGAGCAGCTCCTGGACAGCACAGGGATGGACCTGCACMCCTCCAGCAAAGGTCTGTGTCCTGCTGGGTGTCCCTGGGAATGTGGGATGTGCTGGAGGGGAAAGTCCAGCGTGAGCCACTCCTTGGGGAGAAAATCAAAGCATCATGGAAATTTTAAAGCTGGAAAAAGTCCCCATGGTCATTGAGTCGAGCCATTAAGCTCGCACTGTTCCCAAGTGCCACAGCCTCACACTTGTTGAACACTTCCAGGGATGGGGGCCTGTTCCAGTGCCTGACCTTTCAATGAGGAAATTTTCCCTGATATCCATAATTTGCTGTGTGAGCTCCCAACACAGCGAGACTCCATTGACTTTTACAGGGCTGTTGGCTGCTCTCGAGAGTTTGTCAGAAAAGAGTCAGGAGATGGCACAGAGGAATCAGATGTTGCAGGTACAGAAATATTTATGCACATAAACCACGTGGATTTGGAATYYTTCKCCGGGTAAATATGATGGCAGTGCCAAGCAAGCCACTGTGGCACCTGAACTGAGGATGTGCAGTAGCTGAGATTCCTCCAGGAAATGCAAAGGAAAAGAGACACAGCCCACTGTCAGTGTGTCCATATCCCTAATGCAGTAAGGATGGAAGGAAGAGCTCTCTTGTGATTTTTTTTTTTTTTTTTTTGTGAGTGAATGTATACAGGAGGTTTGTTTCTTACCCTGCTGCTGCCACACTTCCTTTAATACCTCGGTGTTTCCCTGTAGGAGCAATTAGAGAAGCTCCAGGAGCTGCAGGCAGAGCTGCTGCAGGAACACACAAAGGAGCTGGAAGCGAAACACGAGMAAGACTTACAGATAAAAATCCAGCAGATTATCCTGGAAAAGGACAAGGAGAACATAGAGGTGCAGTGACATGGTTGGTGGTTCAGAGAAGGAACGTAATGCAGGAAGAATGGGTATTTGTCAGACTGTTGGCTGGTGAGAGAGGGAGCCTCCAGCTCCAAACTGCCTGAGGGCAGTCCCAAGAGCCTGATGGGATCCCAAGGGGACAGATAGCCTCCGATGTTGTTAGCAAAATTAATCCACAAACACCAGAGGTTTATGTCCAAAAAGGAGACAGAGGAGTCCTGWAACTTTATTCAAATAAAGGGAGAGACCGTGGGACATTTCCATGGGGTCTCTCTCTGCCTCCTTTTTATCCCAATTTCCCAGCTGCATTTCCCTCTCTCTTTCCCCATTGGCTGAGGGACTTGAGAGGTACAGATTTCCCAAATCTCCTAATAGAGACCCACTTCTAATGCACATCCTCCTCTTTTTATTCAAGTGTCTCTGTCCTTTTTCTCTACGTTCAGGAGTTTAGCCCTGCCTTGGGTCAGTAGCAGTCTGTGTCAATGGGTGGAATTCCTCTGGAATTTATGGCTCCTCCCATTGCTCCYCTCACCTGTCAGTACCTGCCCTTATCCAGCAGACCCCAGAGTTTGTAAAGGCATCTCCCTCTCATTCCTATCCATTCCTGATATTCCCAATATCAGGATGGATCCAGGTGATGTAAACTCCCAAAAGTGTCCGTAGTGGAACTGGGAAGCAGCTGCAGGTAACACCAGGGTGCACAGCTGCCCGTCAGTCACTGGGAGAAGGGGAAGCCAAGGAGCATCCATGTGATGGATCCAAGTGATCCAAGAGCTTGGGGAAACATGGCATTGCTTCCCCTCAAGCCTTTCCTCCCTCTCTCCCCATGCTGAGCTCCTGTTGGCTCCTTTTTKGCTGGAAATGGATATCCCTGTAGAGCAGGGGGGCAGCAGCCCCCTCAATGCCAGGGAAGCCCAGGCCATCCCAACAGTGGCAGTGCTGGTCAGGGTGTGAGTGGGTGTTTTGTCACATGTGTGTTGTGATTGTGGTGCCCTTGTAGGACAGTTTCTACTCTGCTTCTGTGTCTGGTACCTTGAGAATGGTGCTTTCCTGGTGTTTCTTCCTCCAGTTTTCTGAGGATTCAGGCAAGGAGCAGCCAAGCAGCTCCTCCTCAGTGTCTCAGCTGTATTCCACCCCAGGGACTCCCATCCCCTCTTTCTCTGAGTCACCTCATGTCCTGCCAAGGACCCTTCTCCCATCACCTGTCCCTGCTCTGGAGCCATGACCCTCCCTGCTCTTTCCTYCTTGGAGCTGAGGTCTCGTTTTCCTGAAGGGAATCTCAGGGCTGTTGATTCACAGATTCTAGAAAGCGCTGTAGCTGAGGAGAAGGACAAGTGCAAGAAATCYGTGGAGGAAGAGCAGAAGAAGATCCAAGAGCTGGAAAACCACCTGAGAAGCATGGCTGAGGTGAGCACAGGAGGTGCTCACACTTGGAATGAAGAAAGAGGCAAATGTGCTGCAGTTTGGTGCTGGGTGGATGAAGGGGTTTTTCCCCTACCAAATACACAGAGATACAGATCTTCAGAAAGAAAGGTGGATTCCTGGCTAGCTTAATTACTGCTAATTACTTCCTGTAGGCAACAGCAAAGCAGGCGGAGGAACAGGAGCTGACAGAGGGAAAACTGAGAGAAGCTTTGCACAAGCTGGAGAAAATCACTGCACAAGAGGTATTTCCACTGACCCGTGTGTGCAGGTGGAGGGTGCAGWACTGGAGGAGAAGGCTTCCCCCATSCTTGAAATCATCCCTCCCCTTCYCTCCATTCTCCCAACCRCMACCCAGGAGAGATTATGCCAMTGGTGATCCCAAAAGAAACCCYCAGAGCTGCCCCATCTCGTTCCCCAGGCAGTGCTGCAGCAGAAGGTGCTCGAGCAGGACAAACAGCTCAGGGCTGCCCAGGAGGAGCAGGAGCTGCAGAGGCACAAACTGCAGGAAGAAACAGCAGGGTACAGAGAGCAAAGCAGGCAGCATTCCCTGACCATCCTGGCCTTGGAGGACAGGCTGCTAGAGGCCACTGAGCAGCAGAAGATGCTGGAGGAGGAAAAGAAAGCACTTGAGGAAAAACTGGAAGGTAGGTAAGGGTTGTAGGGGATGCACCTGTACCAGGAGCCTCCCAGGTTAGCATGAGATGTATATGGAGATGGAATAGGGAATTTGCTGCTGTGGAAAACACTGGGGAGATGTTGCATGGAGGTTATTGCACCTGCAGGACAAGCTCTGAGCCCCTGCAGGAGCCATTTCGTTGCTTGGTGGTTTTGGAGACTGTCAACAGACAGTGCTTTGCCACTGGAAAAGGGCTCTTCGCCCTCCAAAATGAGAAGACTGGAGTGCTTTGGGCTCCTCCCAGACAGAAGCAATCCCAAAAAAAGGCCAAATATCAGGAATTGCCCAGCTGGCCTTGGAACTGGGCTCCAAGAGACATAGGTTTCCCCARGAGAGAGTCCTCAGCCCTCAGAGCTGGCATGAAAGAAATTATTTGTGCAGCAGAAGCAACAAATGTGTTACAAAGATGTAATCAGCCTTCTTTTCGTGTGTCCTGCAGGATTTCAGTGCCATGCCCACAGGTCAGCACCAGGAGCTTGGCTGGAGATTTGTCCTGCCTTGGAGTCACACGTTTGTCTGAGGTGAGCAGCTCTCGCTGTTGGTGATCAGGAAGGCTTGGAGAAGGGCAGGGACCACTGGGAGAGCCTGAGGAAGTCCAACACAACTGGTGCTTTTTTAGTCTTTTTAGTCTTTTTTAGATCTTTTTAGTCTTTTTTAGATCTTTTTAGTCTTTTTTAGATCTTTTTAGTCTGGGTGGGACTGACTCCCTTTTCTGGGCTGAGGTGATCCTGAGGATCTGCCAGCCCATGCAGATGGCTCCAGGGAAGAGCCAATGGTGTGGCCAATCCCATGCCATAAGGTGACCCCAAAAGGCAGCTGGAAAAGGATTGTGTGAGTGTCAGCCAGGAAATGCAGCACAGGAAGGTGTGCATGGGCTCCCTGAAATGGGATTCCCAGTGGCTGTGAATTTGCACTGATCTTTCCCAGGAGCCTGCAGGAGGAGCTGGCAGCGGCACAGTCCATGCTCCTGGAAAAGSAGGCAGTGATCAGCAGGCTCACCAGGGAGCTGTCAGAAACCAGAGCCAGGATGTCGGACATGAAAGGTGGGTGATGTGCACCAGGGGCTCCCATGGTCCCAGTGCTCCTCCAAGCAGTGATGGTGCAGCAGGCACACACAAATCCTGGGAAATGTCACCGTCCTCAGGCCATGTCCTGCTGGGGACAAATGTTCTCTTTGGCAAGGCTACTTTCTCCCCATCCTTGGCTCAGTAAGAGCAGTGACAGTGAGAGGGCAGAGCAATCAGGGGGAGAGCAGCTAGGCAAAACTGAGCTCAGGATGRCACTGGTGAACTCCTTGGAGCTGAAGGTGTCCCCAGCCAGTGGACTGGGAGAGCCTTGCCTGGGATTCCTCCATGGGCAGGGCTGGGAGCATGGGGACAGAGCCCATGGGGAATGCGTGGAGTCAAAGGAGGCAAGTGAGAAAATGCTGGTAACCTGTCCTCCTTCAGTCAGAGGGAAAATTGCCACAGCAAGGAATTGTCTGGCTTATACCCACACAAAGAGCCTGGGATTTAATAAACAGGATGTCCTGTTGGCACAGCCCAGGGTCTGAGGGCAGCTGTCCAGGGCAGGGCAGGGCTCTGCAGGGATTTGGGTTATTTAAGCCCCACTGCTGCTGGCAGCTTCCATGAGGGTGCAGCAGCTGCAGATCCCCCAAGAGAGGGGGATGAGTCAGCCAGCATCCCACGAGGCTGTTCTGTGCTCAGGGGAGCTGAATGAGGAGCAGAAGGTGGAGCTGGAGCACAGCCARAGGCAGCTGAAGCACCGCGAGCAGGAAGTGAACCAGCTCAGGGAGAAGCTATCTGAGCTGTCCAGCCTTGTGCAAGAGAAGGATCGGACCCTGAAAGCAGCAGCTGAAGAGTTGAGGTACACACTGACATGACCCAAAGCTTCACAGATGGCACTCTGTGTGTCCCCAGCAGCTGATGGTGTYAGGAAAATTAATCCACAAGCACTAGAGGTTTATGTCTAAAAAGGAGACAGAGGAGTCCCGCAACTTTATTCATGAATAAAGGGAGAGATCGTGGGCAATTCCCATGGGGTCTCTCAAATTCATAGAGGACGCAGCCTCTTTTATCCCAATTTCCCGGCCACAGTTCCCTCTCTCTTTCCCCATTGAGTGAGGTACTTGAAAGTTCAGACTCTTCGAAACGCCTGATGAAACCCCCCTTCTATCATACATTGCCCCCTTTCAATATCCATCTCTGTGTCTCTGCTCAGGTGTCTATTAACATAGACTGGGGTAAGCCAATCAGTAGAATTCCTATGYAAATCCTTCCTATTGTTTCTTTCTGTCTCCCAATATCAGCCTTATCTCACCCCAGAGTCAGAGTCTGTAAAGATGCTACCTTCTCATTCCTTTCAATGGTGTTCAGGGTTCTCCTGAAGGAGAAGGCAAAGGCACATGTGAGAGTATCAGGTTGGAGCTCAGCTCTGAATCCATGACACAGGAACCCAAATGGGGGTTTGGTGGAGCTCATGCTGGTGGATGGGTTACTCAGGCATTTGTAACTAAGCRAGTGTTCCCACCCATGCAATATTAGTCACTGCTGGGTGCCCGGGGTGCTGCTCTCCACAAGCTGTTCGGGTCACCTGCATCCGTCACGGGGTCCCCAACGCCTCATCTCTCTGCACAGCCAAGCCCAAAGCCGCTGCCAGGCGCTGAGGGATGCCTCCCAACAAACAGTGGAGAACACAGAGGATGCTCYCAGGACTCCGGTGCAGGAGGGTGAAGCGTCCCAGCGGGTGAGTCCTCGTGAGAGTCCCGCGGTGTGGGTTTGCCGGGTGTTTCTGGGCATGGCGGTGAGAGCCAAGCCCGGAGCTGCTCCGCGCTGGCCCGAGGGCGGTTTAGCCGGGCACCCTTTGCCGAGCGAGGGCTGCCTGTGCCGCCTGCGATCCGGGGTGCGGATCCGGGGTGCGCTCAGCCCCCGCCCGSCTGCTGCTGCTGCTTAATGAGCTGCTGTTTGCACAGCGCTTTGGAACCGGCAAGTGTTGCGTGTGCTAATGGCTGCGTTAATTGTCAATTAGAGGGTAGAGCAAATTGAAAGCTTTCCCTCCTTTATCCAACTTGCCGCGGATGCTGGCTGTGCAGGTAACGCAGAACCWGTTCTGGGGTTGGATGTGCAGGAGTAGGGACAGCTTCTTGCGCGGGACAGGAAGAAACGCTCCTCATTCTCCTGTGCCAAACTCCTATTCGATTTCCCCGAGGCTGGAAAAGGGAAGAACTCGCAGGTGGTGGCAGCAGCAGATGGAGGGACTGTAGGAATCGTACATTCTGTACGGTGCCAGCGGGGCCGGCTGGCTGCGGGGGCCGGGCGGTGACTCACAGCCAGCTGATGGGGGGCGGGAGCTGCTGCCTGTCCTGTTCCACACACTGCGATGGGGACAGGAACATCCCAGTGCTCCACTGGAGAGCGGGATGGGCAGAAAACACTGCTAGTTCATACAGTGTCACATCTACAGCAAGTGGACCCTCACCTTAGAAAGATTATCGAGGTGCTGGATTGTTCCAGCTGTAGGCAACAAGGCTCGTGAAAGTTCTAGAAAACATGTCTTGGGAGGAATGGTTCAGGAAGCTGGATTAGTTTAGTCTTGAGAAGAGGAGGCTCAGGGGGACTTGAGCTCTGAAAGAATGTTGTTGTGAAGTGAGGGTCTCTTCTACCTCTTCTACCATGCCTGCAGTGAGAGGACAAGAGGAAATGGCCTTAAGCTGTTACAGGGAAGAATCAGATTACATATTAGAAAAGGTTTTATCACTGTTAGGATGGTCTGATACTGCAATAGGTTCCCCAGGGAGGTGGTGGAATCACCATCCTGGAGGTGTGTAAGAGGTATCTGGATCTGATATGGGATGCTGTGATTTAGTGTTTATGGGGTTACAGTGGCAGTGATGGGTTGCTGGGTTGGACTTAATGATCTTAAAGATCTCTTCCAGCYTTGATGATTCTGTGATTTCTGTGATTTCATGTAACACTGTGATGGGGAAGGGAACATCTGAGTGCTGGGGGTGCCATTGGGGAGCAGGATGGGTAAAGCTATGGGGTGACAGCAGCTGAACCGGAGCTGGGGGTCAGCAGCCACCGTTAAGTGAGCACAGGGCATGCTGATGGGCCTTAGCCCCATCACAGATTTTTGGATGTTTGTCATAATGCAGGAGTCTGGATGGGGCTGGGAGAGGGCAGTGCATGTGGAGGGAACAATGTCCAAGTTCTTGTAGGGGTGCAGAATACAGAGTGCATTGGTGTCTGTGTATTTAAAAAGATAAATCTCTTTTTAAATCTTAAAAAAAATCTTGCTCTGTGGGACTGCAAAGGGCAAGGGGAAAACACCAACATGGCTGTTCAGAGCCACACACCATCCCTCTCMTGGCTCTCCAGAGCCTTTGCAGGGTTCATATCCACACCATGGCACAGCAGAGCAGGAAAGAGGTCTCTGACAAGTCTCTTATACCCCCCAAATCCACGGGAATGCTCCCCAGGCTTTGCTTTTGGAATGTGCCAGGTGCCCCATGTCAGGCTGTGTTTGAGCTGAGCTTGTGCTGAGCCAGATGCAGACTGGGCAAGAACCAGAGGAGTTGCTGCTTCCAGGAGCTGCCATCAGACTTGGCTGAGCTTGGTGCAAAATGCCGAGGCCTCAGGCACGAGGAGACCATCCAGCGCCAAAAAGAAGGTTTGGCTGAGCTCCGAGAGAGGGTGAAGATGCTGGAGAAGAGGCAGTGCTCAGGTGAGCAGGGCTCTCCCAGAATAATGGAATAGTTTGGGTTGGAAGGGACATTAAAGATCATCCTGTTCCACCCCCTGCCATGGCAGGGACACTTCCACTGTCCCAGGGTGCTCCAAGCCCCATCCAACCTGGCCTTGGACACTGCCAGGGATCCAGGAGCAGCCACAGCTTCTCTGGGCACCCTGTGCCAGGGCCCCAACACCCTGGGGAAGCTCGGAAGATCTGGCCAGCCTCGAAGTTGTGTGGAGATTGGAACAATTTGGCAGCTGCTTGTTTGCCTCCAGGTGCTCTGAAGAGGGGCTCGGAGCCACTGGAGGTCTGGATGAAAGACACACCAGAGAAAATAGYCCAACAAAGAGGTCTTGAGATGGAACCTGCACCTGTGTTGGGAGGAAAGCTGAAGGCTGGCAAGGTAGGGAGGCAGTGTGTGGCTCGCAATGCCTGTGGCTTTGTTTGGAAAACATACCCTGGAAGAGGGAGAAATAAGTTTTCAGAGATGCTGCATAAGAAGTCAGGGTGGAGAGGGGGAGAGCTAGAGCCTGGCAGGGTATGAGATGCATGGCAGGGATGATGGRTGGCAGTGCTCCTGCAGAGGTGTCAGCTCCATCAGGACCAGCACATTGCCCGGTGCTGTTGAAATAGCATTGCTCAGGGGTGCCATGGGCTGAGCAGGGTGGAGATTTGGCACCACAGCGACACTGGGGGGTTTCTATGAGGCAGAAGGGAGGTCAAGGCTGCTTGACCAAAAGCCAGGCTCAAAGTGGGCTCCATGGGGTCCTTGCCTGTCTGTGCAGGTTCCTGGCCATGTTCCTCACAGGGGCTTGCTCAGGATCTCCAACAGCACAGCGAGATTGGAGATGGCTGAGGCGACAGACTTTGGTGAGAAGATGGTATGTTARGGATAAATGTAGTAAATCATGTGKACAGTGTGTACATGCCCGGTGTGTGTAGAGTTTAGATGTTTTGTGAACACGTTTCAGGCATAGGTGACATCAGGATACTGCAGGAAYATTGAGGATTTACTGCTCTGTGGTYCAGTTGAAGACATCCCTGTCCATGGCAGGGGCGGGGGGYTGGATTAGATGAGCTTTAAATTTCCCTTCCAACCCAAACCATTCTATGGTTCCATGGCTCAGAGCACATTGAGTGTCTGCCAGGACATCCTGGACCCCAAAACATGCCCTGGTGCWTCAGAGAGGCTGGGGGGCAATGGAAGGAGCTGCCAGGGGAGGGGTCCACAGGCTGGGTTGGGMAAGGAGGTCTCTTCCCTGCTAAAAGGGCAGGGAAACATCCAGGAGGGAAAACAATCATCTTAGAAAAGGAAGCAATCCAATCCCGGTAAGCTGCACCGCTGGGAAGGGAATGCAAACCTACTTTCCTTGGGACACTGTCATCTCSTCAGGAAAGCAGACAGAAAGCAGATGGCTGAGCAGCGTGATGGAATGCAGCAGACCTGGTAAATAATGCATTCCCTGTTCTTCCCACAGTACCTTGATGTAATCGGTGCACTGGGAAGCCTGATGGAGATGAAGGAGCTGTCAGGAATGCAGCCTCTGCAGCACCTTCCTCAGGAGAAGAGGGGACAAGTGGGACGGCAGAGGCAGAAGGCCCTGGAGCTGTTGTACAACAAGATCAGGAAYCTCCAGCTTTGTCTGGAAAGGAAAGAAGAAATGCTGAAAGATTATGAGGGAAGCATGGAGCAGCTCAGGTACAGAAAGGCAAGGTCACAATTCTGAGCAAGRCCTGGTCCTTGGATGCCAAGTGATGGGGACCTTGGGAGAAGGAGTGATGGGTCCTGTRTCTGTCTGGAACCAGTCACAGTGTGGCCATGGCACAAAATCAAACATCAGGACGAGTGGGGAAAGATCCTCTCAGTATTCTGCAGTGGTGCCTTGTGCAGCCTCACATGGTTGAGCAGTGTCAGAGTCAGGAAAGCCTGACAGGATCTCTTGTCCGGGATGACCAGAGCTTGGGACAGCAGTGGCATCGGCTGGGGCAGAGGGACAGTGTCAGCAGCACCAAGGCAGGCGTGGGAGAGCCCAGCTGAGGGTCAGGGGGCTCAAAAGGCCAAAACACCAACAGAATCCCCCCCCTCCCACTTGCACAGACAGAGCCAAGCATCCCTGCAGAGGTGCCAGGAGGAGATGTCCAGGCTGGAGGATGAAGTCCACAGGGAGGCAGAGGAGAAGGCCCTGCTGCGAGAGGCTCTGGAGAGGGTGCAGCTCCAGCTGGAGCGGGAGAAGAGGCTGCGGCAAGCRGCCAAACGGCACAAGGTGAGGAGGCAGCACCCAGCCCTGAGCTTTGGATGACAGCCAGCTCCAGCTGTTGGGAGCCATCCCAGGGTGGGCAGTCAGACCATCCCGAGAGGCTGGAGCCCCCAACAGCCACAGCATCCCCTGGTGAAGCTGGAGGTGGTGCAAGCTCCTGTAGCGATGGGTTTGTGCCATGTACGAGGGCGAGGGAGGAGAGCAGGTCATGCCAAGCTCTTGTGGTCAGTGCTGTGCCCAATGTCTCTGTTCTGCAGCCTGGAGCCACAAAGCCTCTCTGCTCGGGAAAGCTGAAGGCCAAGGAGTGCCTGGCAGACACTGTCAAATTGGGAAGCTCATAGGAGAGGCACCACAGGGACCTTCACTGGGTGGTGATCTGCAGCAGGAACAGGCCATCGCTCTGGACTCCATGAAGGTGGCATGAGGTGTGGGTGCATTTTGAGGAGCTCCTGCTTGCATCCTGTAGCTCCTGAACACACTGGTGSAACTGTACAATGAAGGACCTTATTTCCCCACAATCCATGTCCCACAGAGCGGGGTGGATGATCCCACAGGGCGGTGGTGGGATTTACGGCAGTGGGACAGGTGGTGAGGATACAGTCCTGTATACACACGTGTGTGTATTTGTGTGTGTGAACACAGCCCAGTGAWGTGTGAGGTCAGTTGTGGGGGTGTCCTGTCCATGCTGAAGTGGCCATGAGCACATGAAGCCGATATGGCTTGAAACAGCCCTTGCAACTCCCACGTCTTCTGGTCCCCATTGTGGCACCGGGAAACTGGAACATACAGCATGATGTGATACAGAGTTCTGGAATTCCTGGAACTCCCCAGGAGTGCTGGGCCTGCCACATGGGAAAGAGGAAGAAGAGGATCCATACCAGCCCCACCAGTACAGCAGCAGCACAAGGACAAACTGGGGAAATGAGAGTGACGTGTTGGCGGGTTGGGATGGGGGATGGCTTCTTGGCATCAGCAAGGGTGAGAGCAGACCCCRGATTTTGGGGAGCAGCAATATTTTGGGCAGGGGGTCCCTGCAGGTGACAGGCAGCTCCGGCATGTCATCCCTGCAGCTGCTCCATCTCGGCATCGCTCRGAGCAGCCCATGGGCCGAGTCCTCTGCAGACCTCTTCAGCGAGGATAATTCGATGTGAGCAAAGCCCCGCTGGGGGTTTTTGGTCTTTGTTTTTTAATGGGATAAAAAAGATCTGGAAGCAGCACAGAGGGCTGCAGTGGGCTGATGCAGGGCTGCATCGTCTCTGGGCGTGTGAAGCACTCACGTGTGTGCAGTGGCCTATCCCTAACGGCAATGACACTGCTGTGGGGCTCTGCTAATTGGGGTGGCCTGGTTTTCCTGCTGCCTGTGCTGGGAGAAGCTGGATGTTTCCCTGTCTGAATGCCTGGGCTTACACTGGGGCAAGGCATGGCCCTGTATGCCTGTGTCTGTCAAAGATGCTGCCGTGGGCATCCTCTACAGGGGTATCTGGAGGTGTTGTGCTGCTCCAAGACTCTGTGAACCTTCCCCACACCACCCTTGGCAAATTGGGTCAGGAATGGATGGAGATGGCAACAGCAAAGGTGGCTGTGAAAGCACCAGAATCCCCTTACCCTCCTTGAGCCTATGGATCCATAGAATCATGGGCTGGTTTGGGTTGAAAGGGACCCAAAGATAGTCTGGGGGCGATCCCACCGGGGCACGGGACCCACCGGTGATTCTGGACCGTAAGGATCATCCCGGGGACTGGATGAGACCTGCCGATGTTGCCGGTGGAAGGAAGKGAGGGGGTCCAAAGGGATGGTGATGGCTGATAGATCGCGGCGGGCACGGGAACCCCCAGTGTCGCTGATGGAGCCCGGCTGGCGCCAGCGAGGCGGTCCGAGGGGACGGCGATGCGCGGACGGGGCGGGCAGCCCGAGCCCCCCGGGGCGGGCACGGGAACCG